GCAATTTGGTTCTCCTTTCATTTCTAAGAGTTCTCAACTCTTCATCAATCTCTGAGTCATTATCATTTGGAATAGCAAACTCTTGTGAATCATCACTAATATCCCAATCTGTTTCAACACCTTCAAAGATCTGATGCATCATCTACACCAACTTCAACATTAATATTCTCAGATTGGGCCCCTTCATCCACATTAATATTATGTGAGTTTTTCTACCCCATCCCTCATTAACATTTTCACCAACTGTTGGCCCACAAAGATAACCTGTAGGGACCCCATCTTTTAATAACCTCTACCTCATCCACAACATGTTGAACATACAAGTCCAAAAAGTCACCATCACCTAGGTCTTTTATAAGGTTTAGTAAGCTGAAATCGTTATCCACTAAGACAAAGTTATTGGTTGTAGGGTCTTTAAAATAAAACCCACCCATAGTAACATACCCCATATCTCTAGTATAAAAAAGCAATTCCATTAAAGAAAAGTGGTCTTTATCGATACCTACATATTCCACTTCACTTTCCCCTATGTAAGTGAGACCTCCACCAGATGTGCCTTCCACAATTTACCACCATGGTGAAAACGAGTTACTATAATAATATCCATAAGATTCCCTAAAAAAAAATTCAAATAAATTCGACAAATTACTTACAAGAAAACCCTAAAAAATTCAAACTTTATTCACATATGTACAAAACATCATCACTGTAGTAATGTACAAAATAGATGCTATATTTAAAGGGGAAATTGACAGCGATAGTCATAGAGATTCGAAAATGAACTTACTTCACAAGATTGAACACAAAATCTCCTAGCTTTCTCGAATCAACCTTAAAACACAACAACAAAAGTTATTTTCTTGAATCAACCACGCCGTAGGAAGAAAACATGAAGATTATTGATCAACTTTCTTGAATCGACCACATATTGAGCGGGAATCGTGAAAGAAATTTCTAGGGTTTTTGGAACACATTTTGGGGATTTAGAGAAATGACTGAGGGGTTGGGTATGGGGTTGGGTGTTTTGTGATGTGTATTACCACGTAGGATTATATTTTTCCACGTAGGAGATGTGTAATGTCACGCGCTCCACCTTAAAACAAATGCCTCACACGATAAGTGCCAAGTCAGACAGGTGTGTCTGATAGGTACACTTTTTGAGTGGTTTAAGTGTTCAATAGGAAGGAGTCCTTGTTAAAGTGTCTATAAGGAAAATCCTTACAAGTTCAAGGGGCCGCTTATGCGTTCTGCCTAAAATATATGTCCAAACAAAACTTCAAATTTCAAAACTTACAACTACAACCAAATTCAAGTTTAAATTTTAAAATTTATAATTAAACAAGAGTTGAATATCACATTCAAAAGTGAAAATGTAATTTTTTGTAACTTTTTATGCTAAGTCCAATTTCAATGTTTGACCTTACCACTTCTTTCAAGTTGGCTTAAGTTTTGTCAAAAATAACTTAACAACAATCATTATTTGGGCCAAAAAAAGTTTCTCTTGTATTAAAGTTCATCTCTCCAATAAAATTCCATGTTGCCCACTTTTGGCGGCCTTTCAATTTCATAAATTGAAAATAGAATTATCGGAATTTTTTCCTTCTTAATATGAGGTATTGAGTGAATATAATTTTTTTTGATGGGGACCGATTAATTCCTTTACATGTCTTAATGGTGAAAATCCAAATTATTTGGATCAATAAGTTTCGGGATACAAAATGCCTAAAGAATTATTATTATTTTTAGCTTATATTTATAAAAAGGACATCTATTTCTGTTAGCATTATATCTCTCTTAATCGGAGATCTGAAAGTTTCAATCATCGTAGTAATGTAGAACTTCTTGACTTGGACTCTAGAAGTACGTATGAACCTATTGGGAGCAAATTCAAATATATCAGATCAATAAATTGTATTGTACAAAATTTCTAAAGAAAATAGACCCGACACAAATGAGTCCTCTAGTCTATTTTTACTTCAAATCTCAATTCCACATTATCGATTAGCCAAATTGTTCTCTTTTTAAAAGATTTTTATCAAAATTTACATCTTTTCTTTAGTATGTTTTCACAATCTTGTCATATTCCATCAATTTGGTCCATTAAAATAAGCCTTTCATCTAGATGATAAATTAATGGAAATGCCACAATAACCACTTTTTTCTTTGTTTTGTTATAATTTTCCTAGTGTTTTGTCATGATTTTTTAAACTTTTTTTTTTATATTTTTTCTTGATCGAGGATTTATCAAAAACAACATCGTTATCTCCCAAGATAGGAATATGTTCTGCACACGCTCTGCCAACTCCAAAACTTCACTTGTGAAATCATATTGTACGAAATATACGAATATTTTATTTTCAAAATATAATTAAATATATTGTATTCACACGTATATCAGGAACAAAGGTAATGGCGGAAGGTGTTCCATCCAAATCCTCTTATGATCAAAACTTGAAGATAGCAACTGCATAGTTTGTCCAATTTCTTAATGGTGAAAATGTTTACAAAAATAGAGAACACTAATTAGATGCAAATCAGTGCCATCATCTTTAGATACCAGTGTTTAACGGGTCGGGTCGAGATTAATGGGTCAGTAAGAATGAGTTAGGGTTTGAGTTATAAATCGGATTAGAATTAATGATTCGATCATAATTTAGTGGGAATCCTAGTTGGCAATGCTTAGGTAGAGGGATTAGTTCCAGGTGACTTGTCACATCACTAAAAAAACAGATTATTAACTTTTGAGGATATATGTGGATTCTTGGAATAAACGTGGGGGGCATTTTGACCCTAAAATAAAACAGAGGGTAGAAGTGACATATTTCGGAGAAATTTTGATCCTTTTCCATGATAACTATCTTGGCTATTATCAATTTTTGTTGTTATAATTTTCAAATAATTATAATAATTGTTTTTATACTATTGGTGATTTGTTTGAATATATTTGTAGATTTAGATTTGCTCTTGCTTATTTTTTTTAGTAATAAAATTTTAAATTTGAAGATACATAAAACTTAAGCCCCATAGATTCATGGGACATACAATTCGACTCATGATTCAAGATTCACGCTTTGCACCGTGTTGCGTAAAATATCTTACCTTGCTCCCGCGCAGCTTTTTAAACATTATATTTAACTTGATATCAAATCTACCCTCATTTAATTTTATTCCAAAATAATTTAGGTGTGATAATTACGAATTTTCTAATTCAACTTGTTAAAAAAATTACAAAATTGTTGTAAAATATAAGCAATATACGACAAA